CTGCTGAATTGCAGATCAGATTACTGGATCTGCAACTTAGTCTGTTAGGTGCTGTAAAGGGTCCAACTAACATACAAAACAAAGAATGAATATTTATTTTTTTTCAACAGACAAGCACAAGGGAGTTTTTAAAGAACACTCATTCTTAGTACTCTTGTGGTACTGCAAATGTATTTTGAAGTGACTATAAAAAAAATAGGGAACGTTTTCTGAATGCAACTGAAAATACTAAATCTCTGTAATGTCAACAGGAAATCCTGGCTTTGTAAGTGGTGCTGCTTACAACCCATCTGGAGTATATATCCCTTCGTTTCATAAAAAAGAAGTTGGATCAGCTGGACAACGGATACAGTTAGCTCCTCTGGGTGCACCTGTATCAGGTAAGAAACATCCTTTTACTATACATATCTGAGATGCAGAGAAACGTTCATTTCCCATGCCTCCCGTAAGATTTATTAACCCTTACTACATTTTTCTTCAAGTTTTGTAAATAAAATTCTTGGGCATAAATTGTTCTTAACATAAGTGAATTTGAATGTACGTGTTTAGAGGCAGTTCTGATAGCTAGAAAAACTATTCCTACTATCATTTGCTAGGTAAAAGAGAAAATAAAGGTGCAAACCTTTTGTAATTCTAGGTTTGGCCATTCGCTCAACTACCGTTCATTAGCGGTGAAAGGTTAAGCAGAATTGTAAAAATAATGTAACTCCACAACTCTGTAGTAAATAGTTATGTAGTCTGGGCACAAATATAAATCTGTGATTTATGTAGCTGGTAGGAACTGATACAGTCACCAGCTAGTCAGTGTGCAAAATAGTTTTTTAAAAAAGCTTTATATTTGAGTGGATTTGGAATTTTCTTGACAGTAACTTTCATGTAGGTTAGGGCTGTCTTCTGTGGGTCTTTAATCAGTTTAGTATCACTTAATGCAATTGAATGATGCTGATCCATGCTTACAGTGGCCTCAACAATTTAAAAAAAGGCAAAGACCTTCATCAAGTGACTTAGTAAATTACAAAATAATGTTACACCTATGGTATAAGCAGTAAATTAAAATTATTTTCTCTCTTATTTACTGGCCCTATCTAGTTGGCCTGTGGTTTCTGCGCTGCTAATGTAAGACAGCGTTTCACTGTGTTGGCTATGTAAGTCTGTGGATACTTGAGATGACACTACTCTTGTACCCATGAAATATCACAAGAGTGCTTTGTGAAGTGAAACTTTCAATGTTGCTACATTATAGAAGGTAAAAGCCAAACACAAGAATGCAAATGAACAGTTCTTAATAGTTATGATACAGTAATGATGTAGCTGTACATTACGCTAACAAACACATTAAAAGACTGTTCCATTCATCAGTTACAAACAATGTGACATCTGTTCTGAATGTAACTGTTACCTTTGATCCTCTACAGTATTAACAATGTTCTGAGCACCTTTCTTTGTTGGTGTTTCCAATTCAGAGAAGATGAAAAGATGTGCTCATGATGTAGTGTGAGTGACGGTTTAGAGCCGTTGTCCAAACCCAACAGCACACTTTTCTAGTTTCTTCAGAGGAAATAGCAAGGCCCTAAACTAATCATGAATTGTTTAACAGGCCTATGTCAGACCAATCTGATGTAGTCCTGCTTAATAATGTTGTCTTTTTGCTGACATGCTCTTTTGAGTTACCTGTTCCCCTTAGGAACTTGAAAGGGACTTCAGAGGAGGGAGGGAAGGAAGGAAGGAGATGGCACACATATATAAAATATGCTTAGATGTATGCATATTCTGAGTCTGACCTGATCAGAAACCCGCCAGGGAAGGCTAGGGCTGCTCTTCACTATCTTATCAACTCACCGCTGAAATACAACAGCGAGAGTTTTGCTTTGTCACAGTGTGTGGATCAAGAATTTCACAGAAGGACAAAATCTGCCACTATCTCTAGATTGCTGTGAATAGTGACAATGAAAAGTAATTACTTATGGTGATCCAAAGAAATAAATTCACTGTTAAATCTCTAATTAGAAATGGAAAATATGTAGTAACAGTCAGAAAGGCTGGCAGATGGAGGTCAATTAAGAGACTCTTCCATGTCCCGGAGAACAGCAAGAATCCTATTGCTTAAACCCTTTGTATTTAGCCTAAACTCTGCAGACTTGCATGGGAAGAGAGAGAAGGATGAAGCAAATAGCAGGTTTTATCTCTTATCTGTCAATACTTCAACATTAACATTTTGGTGACCCTTTGCTTTGTATTATCCAAACTGAAATAAGTTATGTTCTCAATTGTTTTTGCTATCTTCATTCTTCTGTTAAGTTTTTTAATGTCACAATAGTTTAATGTAATATAAAAGATCAGTTTCTCTGAGGAAAACACCAAGACCCGAGAAAAGTGGCCTACATTGCCAAGAGAAGGTGGGATGGAATCATACTTACTGATGAAAGATAGGGAATGCCAGCCTACAATAAAAAGGAACAGTATTAGTTTTCAAAGAGGTGGAGACCTGACCCCCAGTTCCAGTTCTTTGAAATTCCTCCTTTTCAAATGTCTTGATCCTCACCTGCTCCTTAATGGGTTGAACGCACTATTGAACAAGACCACCAAAAATAGGTGGTTTTCCATAAGAAACAGAATGATAGATAGGTACAAAAAAATTATTTTATCTGTAACATGTTAAATTAAAAAAAATAATTAGTAACACCTAATAAAAGATGACTAAACTACAAAAGTAGGAATGGAAGGGGCAGGATATTCTTTAGGAATGCAAAGGGGACAATGGTAAGGTATAGCAGGAGTCTGGATAAGAGAGGTCCCAAATGACTGAAAGGATTGGGAAAATGGCAGAATTGGTGATGAACATGAAGAAAACCATGAGCTGTCAGCCCCTGTGGCAGGGCAATTACTTTAATCACATGACGCTTGAGGAAGCGGTGATTATCTGAAATGCAGAAAGGGGAAATCTGAGTAGGAAGGCTGGGAATACAGCAGAGCACTACTCCCAGTGTCTGAGACCAGATGGAGGCTAATATTAAGGGGTAAAAAACCCTGCAGACTTGGAACAGATTCTACCACATCAACAGAGAAACAGGAAATGAAGAGGACTTACCACCAGGTACACCAGGAGTTCTCAGCTAAGCAGGAGGGCAATAAAAAGCATAAAATCTCAAAAGGAACAAGAGGGTCTCCAGAAGCTGTCCTTCAGGCTATTTGGGTCTTAAGTTTATCAGTGTTATAATTACCTGCTTTTTAAAATATTTGAGATAGAGGTAAGAACACTTCCATTCTGTAGCAGTTTTGCAATAGGGATACAGAGTTGTAGACAAACACATCAGTTTTTCCACTGACTTTCAGTCTCAATGTTTTCTCAAGGGACTGCTGCAAAACAGGTATCCAGTAGATGAGAATTACTAAGAAGATACACAAACTATAGGAAACATTAACCTTATCTGAAAACAAGCACAGACAGCATATCAGAGACCAAAGCATCCTGCTGTGTTAGCATTCTTGAGTAGTACCACAAGTCATCTTTAAGCTCTCATTCTTTTATCTGCAAAGGAGTGACCTCTTGAGTCACAATTAATTCTGAGTTCTTGTTCCTTTCAGATTATTCCTGGAAAAGCAAAGCTGCTCATGCTCAGTTACCAGGTCCTACTTTCAATTCAGCAGCAAAACACATGAATATTTTAACTCGTCCACCAACAATTCAGCCAGTACATGGAAGAACAGACTGGGTGGCCAAATATGGAGGAAACAGATAAGATCTATACAGGATGGCATTTTCTGTGAGCTGTGTTCAGTTCTCCTGCACTGGAAACCTGAAATGCCTGTTGTGTTCTATTACCTGTATCATACATGTAATACCACATAAAATACTGGCTATAAGGTAGGACTTACTGAAGTATTGTATCACACATTGCCAAAACTACTGAGAAGTAGATTTCACTTGACATTTTTCTATAGATGGATCTCCTATCCTTGTACTCTTAAAACAACTGCTATGGTTGTTTGCGCAGTATGACATCCACTATTGGCATAGGCTTGAAGTGCACAAGCAGCTAGAAGCAGGGCTAAGGCAGAGCAGCACCAGGCCTTCAGGTATTGGGCTGATTCCTTATCAGAAAGATGAGAGTGAAAGCACAGATCGGGTTTGGTGAAGAATACCAGGCTCTCAAACAAGGATTTCAGAACTCACTTGTACCTGCGTTCCTTAGGGTCTGTAATGTGCAAATATTCATGATAGCAATGAGAACCGAATTCCTTGTAGTAGGACATAAGCAATCCATTATGACTACTACACAAGGATGGTCTAAAGACTTGGCCCATGTATTGCTATAGAATGATACAGCAATATTGGAAAATAGCTGAACAAGTACTGAATCCTAGACTTACCTCGCTGAGCTGTAGTGAAGTCTAAAAAATTAGATTCTACTGTTATAATTGACTTATGACCATTTTTGGTCAAAGATCTGTGGAGATTTACATCTGTCACACTGACATTTTCAGGAGCCTGAATCACTGCAGTCTGTCAGTCATTTAAAGGGTGAATTAGCCAAAAAGGCATAAATTATCAGTAAACTCCTGTTTCTGCATGTCTTTATTGAGTGATTAAACTAAACTACAGAAGTTGAGTAAGCTACGTGATGGAGGATATTGGGCTGTTCGTTACCTTCTGGTTTAGATCTGAAAGGCTGACTTGGGTACCTGAAAACACAGACACAAACTTTAATAATACAATACCTCACTGTTTATATGCTCATTTGGTACTTTCCCTGGTTTCTATGTTATGTTTTATAGTAATACACCGCAAAGGACCTTGCAATGTACAATAAATTGTTTTTAGGATGTTGATCTAGGCTACTTCTGTTAACAGCCATGTTTAGAATACATGCTTTAGACTTAGTAGTTACATTAAACCTGCCATTTTAAAGTACAAAATGAGTACATTCTTTAAAAATGTAAAGCTGTTAATGATTACTTTAAGTGTTGTAAAAGAGAAATGTATTTGTATGGCTTCTATAACTGCATATAAAAATTTAAATTCCTGTTGACCTCATGTGCCATAATATATGGGTTACATTAACTTACTGGAAGTCAGTTTAATCTAAAACAGTTGTACCAAAAAGTCAAGTATTTTGTCATGGAAATTGTACCTAAAGAAAATGCCACTTTAATACTGGAAGAGCTATATAGGGATAGGAATATCTGGTTAGTAATGCATTAGAGACTTTAATTCAATTGGTCTAGGTTTAAGTATTTGTCATTCCCTTAGTACTAACAGATGTCCCTATGCTATCTAAATGCATCTTAATTTATCTGTAGAATATACCTGTAACTGGCTATGGCAATGAAGGATGACCCCAGACTTTCTATAGCAGGCATAAATGCACTGGGTTTATAATTGAAAAAAACCAAAACAACCACCAAGAGAAAGGAATCTGCCCATTGCTAGTACAATATGCCAGCAACTTAGTTAAAATCACAGTCTGTTCCAGGAATTAACTAATCACGTGGCCGTAGCTCACATGTCCGTAAGTCACCTAGAGCAGAAAAATAAATAGGTACTATTTATGGCACTAAATATGGCTAGAAGAAACATGCTTTCCTTACAAATGTTAATACACGCTGAAACTGCTTTGACATAACCGTAACAGCCTTTACTTGTCCATAATCAAAGCATGACAAATGTTAAGATATTCTTCTTGTAAACCGCAAGAAAAAACTCCGATTCATCGATACACATGGAACTGTTAGTGCAGAAATGAATTTCTTGAGTATTGGATGCTCAAGATGCAATATACACTGATAGAGTTCCAAGGGGGTAAAAAGTACATAAGGCTCAAGCTTTTCTCTCCTCCCTTTGTCTGGATTGCCACCGTTTCTCCTGAACGTGAAAAGTGGTAATGCAAAGTTCTACCAGCAGTTCTCAATTCAAGCTACTGCTTTCCAAAGCTCATGAAACAGCAGCAACGCTTAACACTTTGGTCTAAGAGTTTAAAAGCTTATCGGTGTGATTCCCTGCTTTCTATTGTCTTTATTCTATTAAAGGACAATTGCAGCCCAAATTTGCAAGTTACCTGATTTGCGACCAGCATTATACAATTAGAAAACTGCTGGATCGTGGCTGTTCTCAGTTTATCGCAGGCAATGCATCTATGTTTGCACCTTCCACAGAAGACAACTGCTTCAAAAGCAACATAAAGAGGCAAATGGTAGTTTAAAGAGAAGCACCTTAAATGCAAATGTCTGGCTTATTAACCTTTTCAAGCTACAGCAAAGACATTCAGATACCTGCCCACCAATGCGGGGCCACGGCCTGGGATGAGGCACTTCCCTCGCTGCCCCTGCTCAGGCCAGCTCTGACCCAGATTGTGCAGCCTAGAACAGGGCTGCTGAGACCCTGGCCCTTGCCAGAGCCGTGCTGTGACTGTGCCCATGGCCTGGCCGTGTCCCTGCTGATCTGGAACCCAACCTGCTTAACTTGGCATCCTGGCTTGATGTCAGCGCTGCCTCATCACTGTGAGTCTCACAGCACAGCACTGCTGGCAGAGCCTGGCTGCTGCCACCCGGCTAGCTCTGTGCCTCCTGCTCAGGCAGCCCCAGGTCACTTTGGTGCCATAAGGAAGGAGGGAAGGAAGATCACAAGATGTCACCCCCCCGCTAAGGTACTAGCCTGATATTCAGAGAACTTTAAGCAGCTCCAGAGTCTCACCAATCTAACAGATCAATCCCTCTGCTTCCATCTCTCCCAGTACCAGCCACCAAAGAAGAACGGTTGAAGAAATCGAAGCTCAGGATCTGTGCAGAAAGGGACGTAAGTTAAATGAGACCAGAAAAGGGATATGTTACCATCCATGTGTAACTCCCAGGATTATTTCTGTATGGCACGTTTATATTTAGAATGATTTTGGGCATCAAGGGAACCAACTGAGGACAAAGACTGATCAATTGAGCCCTTCAGTCTTTAAATAAACTTTCATACAGCATTTGTCAAATCTAAAATAGATAATTCCTCTCAGAAAAAATAAAATACTTCAATATAACACTTGTCGGAATCTGTGGTGTGTGTGCTTTTGTTCTCTACACCTCCCCCCAGTTCATGGGATTTTTAGATTTACAAGTCACTAGATTCAGGGAATGTAATAGAGATTATTTATACAATTCATCTTTGCAAATATACCCAGACACCCTGTGGGAAAGGCACCAAAATGTATCAATCCAGATGAACGATTAAAAGAAAAAAAAAATAGTTCTGTAAAATGCAAAAGTTTGTAATAATAATTTGTTGGTTTATTTAGAATAACATTTTAATTCTCATGAAATGCAAGAGCTATGCCTACAATTCAACATTATCTAATAAAGCCTATTTTTGCTTTATGAATAATAATCTGTAAAAGTTAAATGAATGACATTTAGCTGGGCACTTTTGCTTACAAGTAATTGCAAGTAACAGGTTTTCCATTCATTGCATTGCAGCAGAACCTTGACAGCCTGCTCCCTGATTATGTTTTGTGCTACCACCAGGTTCTAATGCGCAGTGCTGGGAGAACAAAGTCCCTGACTGACAAACATACTGGCTGGATAAGCTGGCAGGGAAGCGGAAAGGGAGAGGTAATGTAATTAGCATGTTTGTTGTATTAATTACTAGTGATAAATTGGTAACTCCTCTCCCCTTGTTTTAGGGGTATAGATGATTTTAGAGTGACAAGTCCAGATGTACATTTAAGCTCAATCCTGCAACTGTCCGTACACAAGTGCCAAGAGGCCTTTGCCCACAGCAAGTTGCAGGACCAGAAGCTGAACTAATGCTATACTCGTGTTTTCCTGCTCCACAGTGCAGAAAATGTTAAGACAAATACCATTTTGGAAGACATAGCAAGGGCTCTCCACATCAGTCCTTTAAAAACACAACCCACATGCGTTAGGATATGAAGAATACAATGCACAGACAGCAGCACCTTTTCTGCTTTTGTGTGGCATGTTTAGGCAGTTGCACTTTCAGCCTTCTCAATCGCACGTCTTCAAGTGACTTGACGCAGACTTACGGCTTAAGAGGCTTTTCCATGATCTGCAATCCAAGCCGTCCAACCATCAGTAAACTGTTGAACAGAATAGTTGTTAAAAAAAAAAAAGGGGGGGGAAAGGGAAGGCAAAAATCCCACAAAGAACATTGACATTGTATCATTTAGCTGAACTCCACCGTAAGATTTCATTTTTCACAGAACTCACCACATGACATTTTTAAAACAATATAATCCACAACTAAGTTAAATAAAATGCCTATTCAAAAATCCAGAGAAGAACAAAAGACAGGTAACTACCTGGCACCAGCAATTATCCCAGGCATTGCTTTTCTGGAGTTGTAAAATCTCATTCCCATAACAGCAGACAAAGTCCCAGCGGCCACTGTCGAAAAGAAGCCCGGTCAGAACCACATGAAATAGAAACACCAGCACAGCACCACAACGCTTGGACATTTAGTGGTGCCAACCCGACAGGCCCATGTCTACAGACAGGAATGCATATGTCTACAGACATGAATGCCTCCCTCCTCTCCACGCAAACATTTTACTTCTTTTTGTTACACAGCAGAGCTGTTGTGAGCTTCTCGGCAGCTTTGGTAAGCACGCTCCACTGCTCATTAGAAGCGAGTAGATCTCATCAGGGTTGAGACCACTGTCTGATTGCCCACAACCTCCAATCCTCTCAGCCGATCACCAACTCTCTCTCAATTTCTCCTTGTTTGCAGAAGATTGTTTCC